GGCCAGGCCCGGGCAGCCCGGCGGGCAGAAACGGCAGCGGGGGGCTCCTGCCTGGAGACGGAGATCAGGGAGAGGGGAGAGGTGAAGGGAGGCACAGCATGGGCCTGGTGGACCAGGAGATCCGAGCCCTGCAGGCACTCTGTCTGCGTAAGATCTAATCAGTGAGTATGTGTGTGTATAGATAGGCGCAGATAGAGTGGAGTGTGCATCTGACGTGTAATGGGCGTTGTAACTCAGGACTAAGGCCTTGCCACGGGAGTAAAATCAGTCATCAGCAGAATAATAGCGCCTGATTCTTATTCTGTTCTCACAGAGGATCTTCTGGTAGATCTGTTGCGCTCCACTGGCTCCTGTGCCACCCTAGTCAAACCACGGAGCGATTCAAGCGCATAGCTGGGGACAAAATGGGGCTTTGTTTGCAAGGTACCGTTCGGTCCAATCCACCTGCGAAATCCTGCATTTGCTGGCACCCAGGGAAAACGGCTGCGTACCAGACGGACACAGATAACACCCAGGGCTGCACACCGGTAGGAAGGGAGCGGAGGCCCAGCAACAGCTTTGTGATTGGTTTGAGGGAAACGGGCCTGCGTTTGCCTGACACATGGAGCTTTCGCAGGAGGGGAACGCTCCGGGGAGCTTCTCAGCCTCTGCTGCCTTGCGTTTGTGTTGTAACTCAGCATGCGATGGTAACAACAATCTCAAACACCTGGGTTGCTTAGCTATGAAAACAAAAAATCCACAGAAGTATTTTGGTTTCTTCTCGGGTTGGAATTGTGCTCAGTGGCTTACATTTTGTGCATTTGTGTTATATAAACATACGAGATTGGAATTTCAGATTTAGGTCTTTCCTCATCTGAAAGTGGGTAATAATGCTAAGCTCATTCTTTGAGTCACAGAGCGAGCACTCGGGACTGGTCTGAAAACAGTCGAAAAGGCACGTGGCGATGTATTTCGTGACAAGATGGAGTTTTGTAATGGGAAGTCGTTAAGATTACACAGTGCTGTTCTCCATCTAATGAGGGCTGGCAGCCAACCACTGAGCAAAGCGAGCGAGCCTGTACCCCGCGCCTGAATCAAACGCTGGAGCGGCGCACCCCCGAAGGTTTGGATTTGCGTTCGGATCGCAAGGCAGGCGTTAGGCCCTGGTGCAGCAGAGTCCTTATGGACACCTGGCTGGTTTGCGGGAGAACAGAGCTTTCCCGAGCTGGGAGGGGCTTTCTGTGAACAAAGGCGCTCCGTGTTTGTCCCGCGCTGTCTGTACCGATGCCCCTTGCTGCGGTTTCAAGACGAGCTTGGTGAACAGTAGGATGTTGGGCCTAACAGACCTAAGATACTGGCAAATACCGAGTTCCTGTGCCCAAAAAGCCTGTTACCTGGTGCCAGCTCTGGGGCAGGAACCGTCTCTTTCTGGCACTCGTGTGCAGGGTGTATTGCAGAAGTACAGCTGCCCAGAGAGATCCTGTCCAGGGAGCTGGTTACAACAGGGATCTTCACACTTAGCAGTGCCGTAGCCAAACATTTGGCTCAGAATAACAGCTAGAAGTAACACGAGTAAATACATAGCACAAGGAGCATTTGAACCGTGTTGTCGCAAAAGTGCACGCTTGTTCCCAGTGTGCAATGCCCAGCCTCACACCCTGAGGTGAGAGACTGATTTATTACGAAGCTGTACAAGTTTGGATGCTAGATAAAACTCGCATGCCTGAGTCACCAAAAGACATCAGTCTTCATACAATTTCTTACCGAGAAGTTTCAGCCCGTGGGGCAGTCCCGCGCCGCTGATGGGTTACATCGTTAGCATAGGACTTGGTCAGCATTTTCACGCTGCGCGTATTCAGTGAGGAAGGATCTGGGGGTCTTTTCCCCAGGGGGTGTGATTTTTAGTATTATAATGTATTATAATGAAGGAGAGGTTATTTTCAGACACTACTTTTTGGCCAGAACCAACCAAAACTAGCGAAGTGCTAAGCAGCAGCCTTCTCAGGGTGTTCTCATCTCTTCCAAGCACAGCTCCTTGATTGAGAGGTAACACTAACTCTTCTTCTAAGTAAAACCAACAAACTCCAATTATTCTAATTACGCAAGGGCCTTTATGCGGAACAGCAGCTCTTTCAGTTATGCGAGGGCCTTTGTGATCACAACCACTCTGGCAGGAAACGTCACTCTGCGTCTGGCGCTAGTCAGCTCTCCCTGCCAGAGAGCTGGATACGC